CTGCATAAATTGACGGCGCTATATAAGTACCTGAAATAAATAAATAAATGCAGGCATCGGCGTGCCTACGTGTGAAAACTTTGATTGTGATACATATATTACATATCGCTGGACACGCCAGAGTAAGAGCAATAATTCTAGCACCAGACCTCCTCTGTATCGCTAAACTGATGACCTATAGGGGCTTCTGAAGCATCATCTATAGAAAATATAAGGTATTGAAGTTTGACACAACTTTGTAGGTGCACACAAATTTAAAGTTTGGCATGTTGGGTATCTATTTACTCAGCACAACCTTGTCTTTTATATTTTACCAAACATTTGGGTAATTATTATATTCAGAGATTAATCATATAGAGTAGCACTCTTCAAGAGACAGGGATTCTTTTGTTTGCTTTAAAAGCATCAGGGACATTTTTAATACTTTTCAAAATAGGGTTTAATAATTAAAAGGTCAAAATGGTGCAATAAAATATTTACTGAAAAGAGTATTACAAGGAGATAAACAAACAATAAAGCAACAGAGAAAAAGGAGTTAAAGATAATGAAGAACACTTGCAAAGTCCTTGGTTGTAGCAGAGTCCAATTGATCATGCAAAAATGGTACAGTGGTTCACTCAAGTCCTGTTAGGTGTCCCTTGGTTGATGTTAAAAGGAGAACTGTTAAAACGTCCTCACTTTTCCCTTTTCTGTGGTATCAAAGGGGTGTTCACAGAGACCATCTGACCAATCATCCAGTTTAAAGGGTGGGGACTAGGAGGTCATCACATATACTAATATTAATATCTTCCACTATGTACAGGTTGCATTCTGCAAACTGGTAGATTATTGCTCAACATTGTATTTTGTGTCCAGGGATAACAAACACAAAGTATTTCGGATGGGCCTGTCACCCAGGAGGTATGAAACTGCCATCTCCCTTTTCTCATGTGCTACCTTAGTCACTTATAACCTTGATTTGTTCGGTATAATATTCTTCATTCAAATATTTACTTAATATTAATGTTTCTTGGTGCTGTTGGATTTTATGAATTGTGTGTGGATTTTGTTAAGTTGTGAATTGAGCAGAGGTCTCGGAGAGGTCACTCCATGTCTGACTGCTTTCTGGGTAAACATTTTATGGCATGCTATGTGTTCCTAGTGCTTTATATTGCTCTACAAGCCATGTGTGACAGAGCAAAAGGATTTTGTCATAGTTTTACGATAAGTCAGAGGGAAGTGTTTTCTGTAGAGTTTCTTATGGTCAGTAGAAACTAACAGACACCCTACCAGGACTAAATTAGCTGTTTACAGCTCTGACCAAGGCCTGTGTGTTGGTGTTCGCTGTACCTAAGTTGGGATAACAAGCTCTTTGAAGTGTTAAAAGTTAACCCCTTCCCGCCGGTGCATCCTGGCCCTTTAAGGGGTTTCTGATGCCAGGAAGCGGGGCAGGGTCATGTGACCGTCGTGATTGGCTGTCACGGCATTAACATAATCGAAGAGTTCCCGATCGCAAGGAGAGATCTAGACCTTTCCGTGACACATGTGCTGGCAGCGTGCAGGGCGCGCGCTCTCAGCACGTTTGTTTACAAATGGTACGCAAATATGTGGCCACTCAGTGTCAAGGCCCGAGAGGCTGCATATTTGCATACTGTTAGCATGAAGAGGTTAAGGCTATGAATTCTATGAGGAAGGGAGGAGGAGAAATCACTTGGCTCATGACAAAAATGGCTGAGACCAGAACAAGATGGCTGTCGCTTCCAGCTTACATGTGCCTACTGTGCACAACCATTACACTGTCCACTAGAACAAGATACCAGTCGCCTAAACTGTTCCACTTACATTACAATCCAGGCTCAGTGAGACAAGACAGTATTTATAACAGAGTGGTAGTCCCCAAATTTCCACTATGGCATTATCTGCAGGTATTTGTATGATCTCCCAGTATTTATTCACATTTTCTCCCAAACCTATACAGGTTATAACTTGTTTAACTGTGTCATTTGTTTGTACTGAAGATATATTACACTGTAGACTCACTCTACATAGTCAGGGACTGATGTAATGTATTCTGTGAAGAGCACAAAATTTTTGTTTCCAAAATTGAAAGCTAAACTTCAAGGAGGTACACGTGTGGATGTGTAACAAAAAAAATGCCACATCATACTAAAATACTATCAGTAGAAAATAACTACATAAAAATGAGAATACTACTGTGTTACAGGCCTTCAAGTTAGTCTATTATGGGTTAAACAATGATACATGTCTTCTTCATCAGCTTTAATGGAGGGAAAACAACAGTCAAAGATGAAAAAATAGAATGTCAACACATCCTGCTACAAAGAAGCTCATTATACATGACAAAACACACCCAAAACATAAAAACACAATGCTGAATAGGATACTGTTCTCAATCTCATAGCTTTACTCTTAATATTAATTGCTTGAAAAAAATACACAGAAACATCCGTTTAAATTTTTAGGTTTATTCATGCAATCAGCAATATATAAACCACTGTTATAGTGGAATAACCCACTGGGTAACCAGAGTCTTAGCCAGAATGAAACCCAACCAAGTGATTTAGCCAACTATATTAACATTATTACACAGTCTCTATTATAACAACCAAATTAAGAAAGCATTTTGCTTACCATTATAAAACATTACAATTTATGTAATGTGTACAATCAACAATAAAATGATTGCATTGTTGGTGGTGAAATGGCACATAGTGTCAATTCAACTGGTCATACAAGTCATTGAGTGGAAAATAAACATTTTCATATTACAAAACAAGTGCAGGTCAGGCCAACCTGACCACAAACAGACATATCAATTGTGTTCCAACACAGGATTATTTAGACAAACGTAATCGAAAGCACACATTTTACTGCGCTTTAGTGTTTCATCGGCCCATAATTACCATTCACAGATCATTCATGGAGCGCAATGCTCATTTCACCTGTAAGAATTCTTCCCAGGTAATGAGGATTGGTTTGGAACAACAAAGCACTTTAAAGGCAGATAAAATATATATATAATATATATATATATATATATATATATATATATATATATATATATATATATATATACTATAGCATTGTGTTAACCGTCTCACTAGACAATTGTAGACCAACCACTGGATTTGTACATTTGCATAAGATACAATATGTATCAACCTGCCAACTGCTCTCTAGCAATTGTTTTTTTTTTTTTTTTTTCCTTTCACAAGGCACATCCAGATGTTTAAAAAAAATCTACTTATAGCTCTATTCACATCTTTTTCTTGTGAGGACATGCCAAGTTTCTTTTCGCTTAAAACGTAGGGATTTACCTAATCCATACATGTGAATTTGACAGAAAACTGAAGCCCCATCAAAAAGGTATACTATGCTCAATACTAGTTCTAATTTGCATCTGGTTTTGAATTTTGTTATTTGAAGTCATAATAAAAAAAGAAAAAGATTTGAATGAGTCCCAGTTTTCTGTTCTGAATCTTTTGTATACTACAAAAAGGATTAGCTGAATTCCATATACTGGAATCACTGCATCCCTTACGAAAACATTTAGGCATCTGTGCAGGACAGACATAAAAAAAAGAATAGCTCTGTAGAAAAGCATGAGCTGATAAAATATCCTTATTAAATTGTAGCTGAAACATACAACGTTTCATTTTAGCTAAAATATTTTCAAATGTTCAAAAATGCAGTTACATATACAATAATGTGTTATATTAAAAAAAAGGTATAACAGAAATAATTTTTATTTTGGAGAAAAAGAAAAGTAGAGGTAATGGTAGTGGTGGAGGTGAATTTATATGTTATTCTTCTAACCCAGGCTTGAAAAGGGAAAGAAGGGATCAATCCCAAAAGACATCATATACAAGTGTTTAAAAGTAAAACTCTATTAAATATCTAATGCAGTTAAAATACAGGTTTTGCAATGTGCAATACCTCAACTTATGTTTGTATCCACTGTTATAGAATACCTCTTTAGTCTGGATAATCACAAGAAATACTAATTGTCAGGGCTTTTTTTCAGCTGGAACTTGATGGAACTCACTACCTCTGGCTTGGGCACTGCTCCTTGCTCACTACTATCACTTGTAAACACAGAAGTCCAGCTTCTGTGTTACAAGTGACAGCTTGTCTCCCAATGGCTCTCACAGCTCTGATCTCCTGAGTGGCTCCCACTGAGTGCAGGCTGGGGACAAGGGAGATGCAGCTGCCATGGTGTAATGCAGATGCCGATACCCCCACTGGATGATCTCCTTGCAAGTGAAAGGCAGAGCCACCTACAGTGTGCAGGGAAGTACTAAAGCCTGCTGAGTGCTTCCACGTAATACAGCAACAAAAGTAAGATATGTGGAAGATGGTGGAACGTTTAAGAAGGGAGGAAAAGATGAGGACATTGGAGGGGGGGGGGGGGGGGGGGGGGGGGGCGGGGGGGTTGTAGGCAGAGGTCAGAAGAGTTGAAGAAGGGTGAAAGTGAGATGTGGATGAGGGATGCAGAGGTAAGCAGCTGTGGAAGAAAATTGAATTCTGCACTCTGCACACCCCTGATCTCTGTGCAAAACACTCTGTGCAAAACACTCCCCCCCATCGAACTCTGCACTCTGTGTGTAATGCACTCCTGGTATTTAATATTCCCTTTAATACCTTCTCACTGTTTGTAAAATTTGAACATACCCACTATTTCATACGGTTTGGGGGAGTGTGTGGGGGAAGGGGTTTTGGGGGGTAGTGGTTAACTTGAAAAAAAGCCCTGCTAACTGTTATTATAAGTTTACAATGAGGTGAACAAACTTCTGCTAGCTAAAAAAAAAACATCATTACAGCACAGAAAGCCAATGAATCTGGATCATGGCTGCTTCTCATAAACCATTATATACCACAAAACAATGACCCACAGTTTGGTGAATGAAATAGAACCACTGTTTTTTTTTGTTTCAAGCTTTGATATTAAAAGCTATGGATTTTCCATATGAATCTCGGGGCTGCCTTATAACGTGTCTCTTTCACATTCGGATTTGTGTTTGGTAATTGAATATTTCTGCTGCTAATCTCTGTGGATCCATCTGTTGTGGGTGCATTTTCATGACAACATCAACTAACTGGGGGTTGAAGATAGCACAAAGCTTAGTGCGCAGATCCAATCTCTCTGCTTTGTATGTTTCCTGGTTTTGCCATTGATGGTAATCATTGCTTGTAGGTTGAACTGGTATGTATTCTTGGTAATTAGACTGGGATCTAGTTGAGGAATGACGGATTGCATTGGATCAGTCCAGCGAGTAGCTGAAGTGTGGTAGTCAGCTGGAAGACTATGAGTAGACGGAACCGTTTCTGACATTTCCCTTCTGTACATGTGATGTGACATATTTGGGGCTGACCATGGAGAAGATTGGTTATAGGTAAAGTAAGGTGCTGAATGAGGACCATGTGGAACTATTTTCTGAGAATTATAGCGTTTACGAGGATCTGAGTCCATATCAGGTCTATGATGACAGCACGGTATCTGTTGACTAGAGCTGCAGTATTTCATTGGGTCATGAGAAGGATCACAGCAACTGTTTGATATACTTGTCCACAACTCCACGCCAGAGTCATAAGAGTTATGAGGAAGTGAATCCTTGGAGCTAACTGATGGAGGAAACCATTCAGAAGCCCCATTGGCATAAAATTGTGCTAATGCTTTCTTGTCCATTGGCCTTGTTTTTTGAGAAGATCCAGTTCTCTCTAAAGGAAGTTTTTGGAAAGAGGAAGCATCTGCATCTACATTGGATGTGTCAACAGAATGCTTTCTTGTTTTCTTGTCTTCCAAGTGAGTAGTGCTTTTGGTGGGAGAAAGTCTTGCATTTTCACGGAGTTCATCTGCTACTGAACGTTGAGTCTGGTTTATCCTTTCTGGGTGATAAAACTTGCACTTCATGCCATAAGTACATTTCTTACCTGAAAGAAACAAATAGAATAGAGATATGACCGTAATGCAATACAAAAACCTTCTCTGTTATCATAATCCAGGTATTCATATGGACATTTCATGGTACTAAATACCATACAACAGCAAGTTTCATAAAGCATTTGTAAAGTTCACATGATGCAGTTACATTGTCATTCAGAAAAGCAAGATCGTGTGAGTTACACAGTAAAAAAATTGCTTTTAAGAAACAAACAAAGCAATAAATAAGTTATATATTCAGGAGGCCAGAGGTATTACAAGGTATATATACTATGTTTATAAGGAATACATGGGCATCCATCACTGATCTCCTTCTAAAAAATACATTATTTGTTGCATAGTTGCTTTTTTTTGCCTTAAGTATGCAGAAAGTCAGAACTCCCGATTGACATACTTTTTCCAGGACAGTGACCTAGAAGGTGCTAACCTGACACTAGAGGGTCTTAATTATTATTTAAAGTTAGGCACTGTAACTTGAATTTATGTAAAGTCAGCAATAACTGTCCATTTCTCAATATCATGACCATGGTTTCCCATCATCTTCACATGATAGTCTTAAGCTGACCATACACTATGTACATTATTTCCAATTCCTCATGAACTGGCCAGAATGCATTTAGTGGGTGGCCCTGTTGGCTACCCCCCACATAACAAACTTTGACTGAAAATTTTAAGGAGCCAAGCAGATAACTGTTGGACAAAGATCATCTGCAACCAATCTGATGCAGCTGCTGTTTGGGTATTTTTACAGCCGGTAGGGCTGGCAGTCAAAATACAATAGCCACAGCAGCAGATTCATCTGTAGGCTGCACAAAAAAATATATCAGTGTATTGTCAGCTTTACTCAACAAAAAGTGTGCTGGGGAACTTTTGCTTTCTTTAATCAATAAAATGACTCAAGGTACAGACATATCATTACTTTTAATCTTGCTTTCATTAAATGCGCACATAATAGTTACTAGCAAGTATTCCTTACCATAAGGACACTGCAGTTTTTTTGTTTTCTGGTCCAAGAGGCCTTTTTCTTAGGAAATCGTCTAAGTTTGGTCCTTTTCGACCCATGGGATCATCTGGAGGCATAAATCTAATGTAAAATAAATAAATAAATAGATTAAATTACAAAATGCATAGCATAAGCCACCATATTAGAACTGATCAGCATGCAAACTGTTACTACATTTATTTTAATATATGCACAACAGAAAAGATGCAGAAGTTGCACATGGGCCTTCTTCATCTCAGATATGTAGTATCCTATTGGTCCCAAGCTCTGATGGTAGGCTTTTAATGACCAACAACGATGACAGAATGGCAAAAAGAGGCAGGGCCAATTGCAACTTTAGAATTTGAAGTTAGCCCCCATGCAATTAAGACTCCTACTCACACTGCAACCTAAGTGTATCAGTTAAGGTGACATAGCTTCTTTATGCTAAAAGGTTTTTGTTAAGACATAAAATATAGATCTAACACCACGTGACATCACTTTTCAGGTTACTGTCATTACTGTAATGCTAAAGCTTCTGTGCAGCCTCTGCATCCTAATTGACATGACTGGGACTGCCTGTATGGGGATGCATGGAATACCTGTGCATTATAGCAGTGGCAAACACGGCCCTTTCATGGGCTCTACTGTACATGCCTGTTACAATAGAATAATATGAATTCAACAGAGGAGGCATATTTTTGAGGATAATTCTGTAATATATATATATATATATATATATATATATATATATATATATTGGTGAAATGTCTGCCTAGAGCCAGAAGAAATATTAGTACAATAATAAGGCACTGGGGGGGGGGGGGTGGGGGGGGGGGGGGGGGGGGATTTACTAAAATGGTGCACTCAGAATGTGGTGCAGCTGTGCATGGTAGCCAATCAGCTTCTAAATTCAGCATGTTCAATAAAAACTTCAGCTTTGACAATAAAACCTGGAAGCTGATTGCTTTCTATGTAGAGCTGCTCCAGCTTTTGCACGCGTCACGTAAATTAACCCCTATGAGGCACAACATATGCCTCCTAAAACAGAATAGTGTTCCTAAAATAAAACAATGATTACAATTATTAAAATATTAAATAATTCCAAATGTTTCCCTAACATGTTACATCTTTCTGTTTAATGAATAGACATATTTTGTTCCATTACGTTATTAGAAAATGTAACATACTAAAATGTTCTTACATATCATTGACAAAGGAGTACATGAGCAGCCGCTCCTCTATGAACTTCTTCCACTCTGGCTTCTCACTCTGGAGGTCTCTGTAAGTATCATTTGAGACTATGATCCCATTGCAATTGTAAGCCAACTTTACAATAAACCTATCGTCATAGCACACTAGCCGTTTCCCGCCGACCCGCCTAGATGGAGTGAAGACCAGGATTTTCTTCTTCTCAAGTTCAGTCAGAAAGTGTTGATCTAGATAAAAGTTAAAATAATACGTTTGAGTAAAAATTAATAAACAGACATAAACATACACACAATGCATGCATCATTATACAATAACTATTGTGCTGCTTAAAATTAATAGTCTTTGTATTTTATTTATATGCTATTAAAAGCTATTACTGAGCACAAAATACAGTATATTTCTCCTCTACTTAATAATAACCTAACATACACAGTAGTCCTATAGTATAAGGTTCCATCTCGATTTGATATTACCTACTATGGTGCTCCTTTCTCTGATTTTTTGTTACTTCTTCTTTCTAGGCCTCTACTGGATTTCACTCTGTTGGCTTTATGTCTCTAGCCTTGCAATTTAACTTCATCAAGTTTTGTCCTGTCAAACCCATGAAATTTTGCCCAGTCAAACCCATGCAGTTTTGTCCGTATATCTATTAGTATGTAATTTCCCATGAGCTGGTGTAGTTTTGAGTGGCTTGTCTTAATTTACTATTTTAACCTTTTTGGGAAACTGCTGTATTCATGTTGTTTTGAAGAATATTCTCATCCAGCTTCATGTGATTATCTTCAGATTGTGTTTTTGGGGCCAATCTTCTGGTTCAGTTTTCATTGTTGGACTATCTTCTGATTTTTTTTGTTTGCTTTCCTCTTTTGTTGCTACCTTTATATTGTTTGTTAATTTGTTTTCCTTTTTTTCTGTTTATTGCCTGTTTTCTTGCATGTTTATTTCTAGCTCACAGTCTGTCCAGTGTCCTTCTGTCCTCTTCCTGTCAGTATCCAGTAATAGCTGGTAACTTCATCTGCTCCTGACATGTTTGTAAAAAAGGATTAAGGCTCCATTCACACTTGTATGACTCCAAATTGCGACTTTTGAGTGCAACCTTGGTGCAATTTTGTTGCAACTTTGGATGGGTTTAACTTAGATATGACCTGTCCCTCTGCAAAGTCGGACCCGCTGTTGCACCAATGTTGCATTTAGAACATTCAGGTATGACATTAATGCAACTGTTGAAGTCTATGGCCCTCAAGTTGCATGAAAGTCGGACCAAAGTAGTGCATGAACTACTCTGAAGTCACTGCAATTTTAAGTCGCACATACATAAATGGTTATAGTTGAAAAACATGGGGTACTACTTGTCATCCGGTGTTTGATGTCCAAGTCGCAACTGTGAATGGGGTCTAAAGGGAGAGTACAAGAGGTAAGAGAAAACCCATGCCCTTTCCTTCGATTTCTGAAGGAACTCTTCCACCAGTGGTGGCTTATCTGTTGTATGTCCCAGTCTGTTCATAAAATCTAGTCTTCATTGTTTTATTTTGTGCATTGCCTGATTTTTTGGTTGTCGAATCTAAGCTATTTTCTTTTACACTGCTGTTAGTTATTGGAAAAGATCCTGTCCACAGTTCCTTGGATACCACATTCCAATCCCACATTAAAAGGCTCAGTTTACACTGGTGCACCATAGTTGGCCTCAGCGTGGGTGTATGTGTGGTTTTTGTATGTTTACCCTTGTTTTTAGTAGCAGACCTATAGACTTCTATTAGGTCACATGTTTTTTCTTGTTTTTTTTTTATAGTCCTGCTTGTTGCATCTTTGCCGCGCTTTCAGAAAACGTGGTAAAAATACGTGATCTAATAGAAGTCTGTGGGACCAAGGCTAAAATGCACAAAAACTGAGGATACACCCACACTGTGGCCAAATCACAGCACACCAGTGTGAACCCGGACAAAGTCTTCTGCTTTCTATACAACAACTGGCATGCACTACAATATTAAAGAAGAATTCTAGATATGGCATTTTATTCATAGTTACATTGGTTCAGCTTGGACTAATGTAATTATGCATATATCATACCTATGGGATCCATGTAGAAGCTGGAAATCACTGTAATAGGCTTCCCTACTACAGAAAGCAGCAGGGCAGTTGCTCGCTATTCAACCCAGAAGCTAGCTGAGAACACCATATTGGCAGTGTCTATTACAGTGATTTCCAGCTTCTAGAGGGATCCCACAGGTGAGCATATGCATAGTTCCATTGGTCCAATCTAGACCAATGCAACCATGTAACAAAGGCCATACCTGGCTTTCATATTTAACATACTGTATAATGATATCCTCTGCCAATAATTTTGTCCTCTTCCTGTAATCACACATTTTGTATCCAGAATACTGCTCAGTTAAACAGGATAAAGGGTGAATGCAATAACATAACATATTTTTTTCTTTTTTAAGTCAGATTTGTTGTTTTCTTAGCTACCTGTAACAGCCCATATAAAAAAACAAAAACATATTTTATACCTAATTTGGGGTAATATTATTTCATGCCATTAAAAACATCAGTGTTTACCTGTAATAGGCATATCAGGTCTAGGTTGCTCCTTTCTCCATGACGGAACAAACACTGTGATATCCGTGTGGCCTCTTTCCAGGAAGAAGTTGACACAAAGTAAAATTCCGCGGCATGAGAATACTTCTTTGTTACCATGACTGCAAAAAGAAGTAAATTGGGGGGGGTTTAGTTTTCAGAAAAAAATACATGAGAATTACTGGACAAATAAAATGTATATATACCATATGGAGGACCATTGACTTGCATTCCACCCTTGTAAATTTAAATGAATATCCATCCCAAAAAATATCTTACTATCTAGACAAATAAAGAGAGTCCATGGGGTGGATTAAAATTCCCACATAAAGCTGCATCCATTTGAATTATCCAGCCATGTACAAAGGGAAGTCTTTGCTGTTTAGATTCCCCTGCAGATGAGTTAACATCTGAAATGTACACATAACTCAAAAATTTACTTATTTTAAACAAATACCACGGCAAAAAATATAGGTACTAAAGGACTTCTGATGGTTAGTGTAGCAGGAATTTTTACAACAATATTTATAAAAGTGGTTGTAAACCTCAGCCATAAAAAATGAACAAAGCATATCCCTCTATAGTGTGTACTTGCCTCAACTAGGAGCACTAAGTGCCATTACTGCCTGCTGCGTTTTCCTCTGCTATCAGCATAAACACATATGACAAGTTTTCCTGTCACCAAGAGAAAAATGTTGACAGGGAAGGGATCTCCACAGCAGCTTCACAGCTTCAGCTCTTTTCATATGAGCTGTGTGAAGGGGGAGTGTGTCTTTTTCCTCCAGTCAGCTATCAGAGCTCTCCTCACTGAGCTCTGCAGTGTGTAATTTCAGCTTTCTGTCCCTTTTTTCTGAACTCTCAGGCAGGCTTTTTAAATTCAGCTCTTTGAATGGAAATAGAGAGGAGAAGGCTGCATATATACAGGTACAACTTGTGCAGGATGATTTGTCTCATCTCTGTGTATCACCTGAGGCCAGTCACTTTACTGGTTATATGTGAAGATTTACAATCACTTTAAAGCTAAAATCCAAGCAGAAATAGAAAAGCTACACAGAATGAATATTATTATACAGGATTTATATAGCACCAACAGTTTGTGCAGGGCTTTACAGTCTTTACAATTCAATACAAGAGGGTCAAAAGGACCCTGCACGTGAGAGCTGAGAATCTAATAGTGAGGGGCAAGTGGTTCAAAAAGATAATAACTGTGAAAGGGATGAACTGATAGAAACATTAAAAGTTCAGTTTTTTAGGTGGAGATGGGGTAGCCTTCCCGCAGAGACAAGTTTTCAGAGATCAACTAAAAAAAATATAGAGTAGGAGGTAGAAGGACAGATTGTTATACTGTATATTGTAAGCATGCAGGTAGAAGTTAAAGTGGTTCTAAAGGTTATTTTTTTTTCTTTAAAATAACAAACGCATCATACTTACCTTCTCTGTACAATGGTTTTGCACAGAGCATCCTCCTCTTTTAGGGTCCCCTGCCGGAGCTTGTAACCCTCACCACCCTGCCAAGTGCTCGCTCACGAGCCAGCCTGTGTGTTTATGGGGCACACAGAGCATGGTTCAATCCCGTCCTCCACTCCCTCCTCACTGGCTATGATTGACAGCAGCGGGAGCCAATGGCTCCCGCTACGGTGTCCCAGCAAATGAGGAGAGAGAGACCCGGGAGAGCCGAGGCTCCAGTGCACAGCACTGGATGAAGTTTGGGGGGGGCTGCTGCACACTGAAGGTTTTTAACCTTCATGCATAGGATGCACAAAGGTAAAAAAAAACCTTTACCGTTTACAACCACTTTAAAACATAATTGGTATTATACTTCTTGAACCAGATACTAAATTCCAGCCACAGGTTCCTGCTCTACATTCCTGCCCAGCAGCCAATTAATTAAACAATTTCCCCCATAGCAAAATTGTTGAAATTTCTTCCTTTTTACTTTCTGTTTTCCTGTTTTTTTTTAAAAGGGTCAGTAAGGTCTTATGAGCAGTGGGCAGAGGAGATAACCTGGAGAGCTTCACAACTTTACAACTAGATTTTGTAGGTAGACAAAACTTAACTTGCCAGGGGCATAAATAATTTTCTGCTTCAAAATAAACAGTATTAAAATAAAGCCTTTGTTTATCTTTTAGGCTAGGTTCACACTAATGTAGGTGTAGGAATGCTTTTGAATTGCATATGTTCCTGCACCTGCAGACATCCGAAGCCACAACGTGTTGCTCTGAACAGGTGCGGACTGACCATTTGGAAACTCGGGGTCAGTAGGGGGCCCCATGAGATGCCCCTGGTACCTTTTTCATAAGCTTTTTTGAGTTTGGGCAAGGACACAGAGGCCCCATGATCCCCCATGAGTTGTCAGTCCGCCCCTGGCTCTGAAGACCTCTGGTCTGGTCTCCAGCGGTGGCTTTTGTGTAGAGAGAGAAAGCCAACAACGGCTGGGAAATGAATAGGAGATGGCATCACCCATAGACTTACTACTGGGCATCCGTTGTCGGCCACCTCTGTCCTATACAGAGGCCGCCAGTGACAGCTCAGCCTGCAGCGGCTTCAGAATAGGTAGGTATAGCAATCTTTTCTCTACAGGGTTAGATAGATTAGGTTTAGAATTGGACTGGGAGTAGGTTTAACATTATCAAGGTTTTGCCTGGACCTCCACTTTAACAAGCTATTTTGAATCTTTGATGGATTTCTTTCACACAATCAGCAAGTCTGGTCAAGGTTAACCATAGATTTTAGAAGACATTTAGCATAACCTAACTGCCTAAATGTTAATCCTGGTCTAATTTGATTCAAGCAAATAAATTACTGCAGATTTTGTTCAACTGGCAAAAGAAAACAGATCCCTGTCCAGGTTTACCACTGAATTTCTCAACTGTGGGACTGTTCACAGATCAGGCAGTTTGACATAAAAATATTCAGATGAATCAAAAACTGTGAATTGCTGATAGAAAAGGATGTGCAATAGAGATTGTTCAAACAATTATAACTGCCATTTTCTCCCAAAGACTTTGGCTGAACTTCCACTTGAAGTCGTTTGACCACAGAGTAGGGCTAAAACATAACTGCCTCCTTCCCCTTCTGTTTACCAGCTGTGTGCTCCTTTTACCAAATGCTCTTTACTTCACATGCTTTTTTTTTTTACTGGTCTGACCAGGGGTGGACTGACCATTCGAGAACTCGGGCACTGCCTGAGGGCCCAGGGTCAGTAGGGGGCCCCATGAAATGCCCCCAGTACCTTTTTATAGGCTTTTTTGGGTGTGCTTTGAGTGTAGGCAAGGACACAGGGGCCCCATGATCCCCTATTGCCCGGGGGCCCCATGAGTTGTCAGTCCACCCCTGGGTCTGACAGTAAAAAAGCTGTACTGACCTTTTAAGATTTTGCCCAAGTGCCATGTAGTTTTTGTCATACATCCAATGATTAACTGGAAATGCAGGTTCTATTACAGTCTCAAATTACATTTTTTTATAGTAAAAAAAAAAAAAGATTATAGAAACAATTGCATCTTTGAAAGGAATTTGTAATCAGATTGTCCAAGTAAAGTGTTAACTTTATTGGCTCCTCTAGCTGAATTTCAATATGCCTTGCTATTAAAGTCAAGAGTGACAAACAACTGTTTCATCATAGGTTACAGAACGGGAAATTAAGAGGAATTAAAATAGCACTCATCTCATATTACGGTCGACCTTCACCTTGTTATTTTGCAAGTATATTTTTGGAGATGATTTCCTGGTTCTGTGTTGAACAAGGTTCGCTTTCATGGTCATTAAGGCTGTTGTTTTAGCTGCATAGTCTCAGGTACAAATCAACTAGATTTTAGAACTTCCTGGTTTACATATGTTGAAATGACAGTCTTTGCATGCATCAACTGTTCATGCATGTTTCAAAGTGTGAAGCAGTGTTTTATAGAATAAAAAAAGTTCCCACCACACATAAGTACCTTGTATACCTTTCTTTCAAGAAATCCTAAAGTCCCCTTAAAAACAGAACAAAAAAAACTGTAGCTCAGTAAGGAGATTGAAGTTGGGTTAACAGGCAATCTTCATATCAGTGAATGGCATCAGATTGTAATAGGCACCACCGGTTAAACTATCTTTTAGAAATTGGCCTAAAGCTGGCCATAGACGATTCGAATATTGGCCAGTTCAGCAGGGACTGACCGAGATTTGAACCATGTATGGGGCAGGCTGAATGCACCCAAGTTGATTGGTCGATCAACTTGGGTACAACCAGCCTGTTGGATTTTACATGCAATTAATGCAAGTGGCTCTACAGGAGGAATTCCCCATCCACCGTCTGTGGTCACAGGAAAGAAAATCACTCCATCTATGGTTAGCTTAAGGCAACTGGTGTCAAGGCCCCCATTCCTATTCAGAGATGGTTGTTCCTACACCTTAGGAAAAGGAACATTCTTTTGAGGAAAGTAAGGTGGACATTTTGGATAGGGAAAATCTGGTTTGCAAGTGGCCTTAAAAAGGCCATCTACAGTACATCAAACTTGAACAACCATCTCTGATCAGGGGTGGGAACCTTCAATATCATATGTCTACCACATGTATTTCCAATTTCCATCTCTGTCCTAGTGAGACTGACATATTCCATAATGCTAATGTGCTAAAGTGTCTGTACTACCTGTGTGGATATATATGGTAAGCTGCTAAACATCTTCAGCATTACAGAACATGTCCAGTGTAACGTGACTAACTACTACAAGGTATACCATGACCTAGAAAAATGGGAACCTTCATGGACAAAGTGTGTTTACTTCAAAAGTAGATACTAAAGTCTTGTTTTTTTCCTTTTAAAATAACAAACATATTATACTTACCTGCTCTGTGCAATGGTTTTGCAGAGAGCAGCCTGGATCCTCCTCTTCTCAGGTCCCTCAGCCAATCAGATGTGAGAGTCTCCAGTGAACCTAGGCTCTCGTGGACATTGCTGGATTGAGAGGGGGATCAGGTAAGTGTTAGGGGGGCTGCTAAATGTATTTGTACCTTCATCCATAGAATGCATGAAGGTAAAAAACCTTCAGCCTTTAGAACCACTTTAACTTCATTAAAAGCGGTTGTTAAGGCTGAGGTTTTTTTTACCTTCATGCATTCTATGGTAAAAAACCTTCTGTGTTTT